ACCTTCTTGGTAAACTTGGCGTTAAGGTTGAAAGGCCTTCCACAGTCAACATGATAAATGTTCATAGTCAAAGTAAATGGGCCATAGGGGAAATTTCAAATTTCCCCTTCACGGTAGGACAAGTCGAAGTTTCTATCGACGTAGTGGTTACCGATACCCTCCTATCAGGCTATAGTAGGCAACAGTTGGCTTTAGAAGGTTAACGCCAGGATCAATTATACTACTTCCAAGATGATGTTCTCTTGGAACGATAAGAAGGTCACAGTCCCCGTCGAGTTTCGGAAGTTGCAACATGTTCCATTACAGGAGGGACGGTCTTCTGAAATTGTGAAGCATGAGAAGGAAGAGGTTGAAGCTTCTGGGTCCGAGGAAGAATCTGGTAGCGAGTATGAAGAGGAGGAGTTAGACGATCAGCTCTTCGGGTACTCTAAGCTGGAAAAGAATTATGACGAAGTGATTCTGGTGGAATTCGCTTCTGCTGCTCACACGCTACACCCTTTTGACTTCTCTGAAAATATCGGTTTGGGATCTTATTATAACTCCAAAGAAGAATCTGTCTTGTCCCAGTACAATAAACCTGAGGGTTCAGTAGGAGAAGCTTGGTGGGATCTAAATAGTGATAACGATTATCTTGGAGCTGAACAAGACGACATTCTAATTTCAATAAAGATGATCCTGAAGAAGCCGACCATTTTTTTTCTGACGAACTGGAACCTTCCCCTTTAGAGTTGGACGTTGGAGAGTTGAACGAAGACAAGAAAGATCATATGAATGGATTGCTTTCTGATAACGACGATTTGTTTGCATGGACTTCACCGGACTTAGGACGAACCAACTTGGTCACTCATTGCATCCACACGGGAGATGTTGTCCCTGTCAGACAGAGAGCATACCGAACTTCCCCGGGAGAAAGGAGATTCCTGAGGGAAGAGATCGATCAAATACTCGAGGACAACGTCATTCATCCCTCTGAGAGTCCCTGGGCTTCCCCATCGTTCTAGTCAAGCAGAAGGATAAAACCCGTTTCTGTATCGACTACCACAAACTTAACTCCGTTACCTGAAAAGATAGTTATCCTCTCCCCCGGATAGACGATCTTCTTGACACTCTCAGTAATTCCTCATGGTATACTTTGCTGGACCTTGCTAGTAGATATTGGCAAATTGAGATGGACCCTAAAGATCGTGAAAAGACGGCCTTCATCTCTCAGTATGGCCTTTATGAGTTTAACATTATGCTTTTTGGGCTTACTAATGCCCCGGCTACATTTCAGCGCCTTATGGATCGAATCTTTCGCGACATCAACGGAATTTTTGTCGTCGTATATTTAGACAACATCAATATTTTCTCCCCTTCCTTCGACACTCATCTTTTTCACCTAGCTGAGGTTTTCTCTCGATTACGGGCTGCGGGGTTACGTTTAAATCCAAAGAAATATCACTTTGCAAAAAGGGAACTTAAATTTTTAGGCTATGTTGTTAGCCCTGACGGTGTATCTACTGACCCCCGAAAGGTGGAAGCTGTTCGTAGCTTTCCTGTACCTACCACCCTGCGACAGTTGCGAGGATTTCTGGGCCTGGCGTCTTACTATCGAAGGTTCATTTATGACTTTTCAAAGATCGCTGCCCCACTTCATCTCCTTCTTAAAAAGGATGTCAAGTATCTATGGTCGTCCAAACAGGAAACCGCCTTTCAGGCCTTAAAAGAAAAGCTCACCACGGCCCCGTCCTTGCCTACCCTAATTTTTCACAAGAGTTTTTGCTTTTCACGGATGCTTCGGGAATCGCTCTTGGCGCAATTCTTTTCCAGAGAGATTTGCAAGGAAGAGAAAGGGTCATTTCTTATGCTAGTCGTAGCATGTCATCCGCCGAGCGCAACTATTCAGTGACTGAACAAGAGTGTCTGGCCGTCGTATGGTCTGTATCCCACTTCTGACAATATCATCATGGCACCCATTTCGTTGTTATAACTGATCATTCTGCACTTAAGTCCTTGCTTCGTCACAAGCTACATAATGGACGTCTTGCTCGCTGGATTTTGGCCCTGCAGGAATATACCTTCACCGTCGTTTACCGTGCCAGAAAATCTCATTCTAACGCTGACAGTTTATCCCGTATTGCTGAATCTTCTACTACAAAGCCTGCTGATTTTTGACTATTTCTAATAACACCCAGTTTTATTATTATACAACTTTATCACTTTTTCTATCATCGTATATACATTAAAATAGCTAAATTTATTAAATTGTTCATTATGGATCCTGCGCAATATCAACTGTTTCTACAATACCTCAAAAACTCAATCCCCCTACATTGTGATTCGTCACAATTAGCGAAACTAAAACAACAAACAA